AAAAATCGGAGCAGTCGGCTTTGTAGGTTTTGTTACTTACCCTTTCTAAAAGTGCAAAGTTTGCGCCGATTGAGCATCCCTGTAAAAAGTTAGGATTTCTCTGAAAAATGCCAAAATAAATCAAATTCGCCCTTTTGTATTGCTTGCTCGAAAATCGTAACTTTTCATAGAGACGCTCAATCGGCGCAAACTTTGCACTGTTAAAAAGAGCTGGTGAACCTACAAAGCCGACCGCTCCGATTTTTGTTGCAAGTTTCCGATTTTTTATGACCCTACACAGAAAATTCGAATTTTACCAATTTTCTTCTACCGCTCCTATCTACGCAGTATATGCTCAGGAGGAAGCCGCTATGGCACTGCTATGAAGATAATGAATTGCTCTTTCGGATAAACATGAAAACATGCAAATCGGCTGAAAGAACCGGGAGTTATGAATTTTTGAAAATGGTGCTAAAAAAATTTCGGGCCAACCTAATAGTTTTGGGGCTATAGTTTTGTTTTCAAGAAGATGCAGAAAATTGAGCAAAGCAGGATATATGAGTTGGGTAAATGCAAATACTGACTGTTCTGGGATACTTTCAAAAAATTGTAACGTATGGTATCATGTTACAGATTGCGCTATCTAGATTGTAGAAAATTCTAAATTTCATATAAATAATTACATTGGGTTCTATTCAAATAATTATAAAATAATTCTATATTTTAAACATTCAAAATCAAAAATTCAAATCGAAAACTCCCTTAGTTGAATACGCAAGGTTTTTGCAATCAGCGCCTTCAACTATTAGGTTGGCACGAAAGTTCTTGCGTAATTCAAACAAAATCCAATAACTTTTCAAAGACTAAACCTAAATTCACAATCTTGTATGCTAAAAATATTACAAGCCTTACGCTTCATGATGGATGTTTAAGCGTAAGATTCCGTGAGCTGGACATCAAGAACGAAGCTCTCGAATAAGGCGCTTCAGATTTTGCGATTTTGAGTTTGGTGCCAGAAAATCGCAGAGTGCCGCTAGCTAGCCGAAAAAAATCTGTAGAATTTACTTACACAGCAAAAGTCCATACGTTGTTTTAGCAGGCTTTGATCTCGCATGGAAACGCGAAAACAAAAAATTTGTGAAAATTCTCATTTCACAGGACAAATCCCCTCATCGCACTAACTTTTCCACAGAAACACAGTTTCCAACCAGAAATTAGACATAGTGCCTATTTAGAGCCTTGCGACGTTTTCTCGATTGTAAAAAAGTGTTTTCGCCGGAAAACTGCGGACATGAGGAGATTTTTTTCCACAAAATGACTTATTTCACGAATTTTTTGTTTTTGCTTCACCGTGCAAGATCAAAGCCTGCTAAAACAACGTATGGACTTTTGTTGTGTAACTAAATTCTGCAAATTTTTTTCGGCTAGCTAGCGGCACTCTGCGATTTTCTGGCACCAAACTCAAAATCGCGAAATTTGAAGCCCCATATTCGAGAGCTTCGTTCTTGATGTCCAGCTCACGGAACCTTATGCTTAAACATCCATTATGAAGCGTAAGACTTCTAATATTTTTAGCATACAAGATTGTGAATTTAGGTTAAGTCTTTGGAAAGTTATTGAATTTTGTTTGAATTACGCAAGAACTTTCGTGCCAACCTAATATTTTCGCAAGACCAAACGAATTCTCTTTCTTTTTTACAACTTCAAGAGAAACTGAAACGGTAAATCTTTGCAAAAAGTGCATTCTATAACGTCATGATTTCATAGGAACTTTTTCTAAATAATCATAAATTAAGGAAATCCTTTTTTGTCCAGCGTCCCTTCAAATTCAGAATTCTGTAAAGTGATATCAATTCTCTAATCTAAAAGCACTTCATTCATCTCTAATGGCTATTTCTAACATTGGTCTCATTTTTTAATCAAAATGTGATCGTAATTCTAGTCAGCGCTGGTAAAAAAGCATCGAATTCTCCGTTTCACATGCTTTTGATATGATGAAAAAAGAGTCCTTCATTCGCTGGATCCCAGATTTTTTGGACGTTTGGTTTTTTCATTTGATTTTCTTGAGTGTTTGATTTTCCGAAAAGATTACACAAAATAAATTTTCTACCACTACCCATGCTTTGTATCACTTACTTATATGACTGCAAGCATAGCAGTCAGTTTCATGCTCTGCTGCTCTTCTAGGGAAGGAAGGGATACGATGATGAGATTACAGTTATGTTTCGAAATGTTTCGTTGCAAGAGAAGCCATCCAACCACCTCAACTTGGAGTGAAAAAATTGACAACAACAAACGAAAAAGCCTCGATTTCTATTCGCCGCAATTAGGAATTTTTCTAATTTGCCTAGCAGCTTAACTCACGGCATATGCAGCAAAATAAGCAGCTTTATTGTTACCTGAGAAGGTCCATTCATCCAAAGCTCATCTATCGTGCGGTACTTCTTCTTCTTGTTTGATACGAGATGAAACTCGTCCTACTGAAGCTTTTGTCTTCAAAAACACAAAAATTTTGAGCCTACGAACATTATTTTCAGTGCTTAAGATTGAAGCTGGTGGCGTAGTCACCAATTTCAGGCGACACCGCTGCAGAAGCTCAGTTAAGGCTCCAAACACCCATGTTGCAGTGGGTGAAAGGACCCTCACCAAACTCACGATAGTTTGTAATATGTGCTCCAAGACGAAGGCGGTCGCCCAAATAGGTTGAAACCATGCAAAGCTGCGGCGCGCGCGCAGTTGTCAACCACAGGGCGCGCACGCTCGGTCAGCGGTCATTCACGCGAGCGTGCGCGCGACCCGTGGTTGACAATTGCCCGCGCGCCGCGTGCGCGTCAGCCTTGCATGCTGTCAACCTGTTTGGACGACCGCCTTCGTCATGGAGGAGATATTAGTCCCAGCGCTTTGCAACAACATGGCATCATTAAGGGACATATAATTTACCCATTAGCGTGTGACTTCATCTTTGCAGGCCAGTGTCGTTAGAACAATTTGAGCTTTACAGATGCACATGCAATTTACCTTGATCCTCCCTGAATTTCAAAATTCGTTGACTGACACGACTTTTAGACTGGGATTTTACGCCAAAAGCACTTTCTAGTGATTCGCCTCCCAAAAAAAATTGATGTTTTGCAAACTTTTGGAATCGTTAGAGGAGGTATGTTAGAATCGGTAGCTCGGGAAACACTCGACCGGAAATTTTTTTGCTTATTTGGGGTAACCCGAAGGGTTGATTCCGGAAATCCACGGAAATTCAAATGCCTTCACCTGAGATAGCGCGAAAATGGCAAAAGCTCAGTTTGCTTGATGTGGAAAGCGTGCTAAGTCTTCAAACTTGCTCTGTTTTCATAATTGGAGTGTAACAACCTTCCAATTCGAAATAATCACTTTTGTCGAGGCGCTGCCTTCAAATGTTCCCACTACTGCTATCTTCAATCGTCTATTTTTTTTTACAAAAATTGAGCTAAGCAGCCTGTGGAGGGGGAGGGGGCAAATGAGCATGTTGATCATTTGTTTGATGATCAGTAACATTATAAAATCGAGCGCTTCTGTGATAGTTCTGATGTGGTCTATTATTGTTATTTGTTATTGAGTCCTTCCTATCCGATTATTATGCGTTAATTTGGTGGTTTTACTGCTTTGCACATCCAATTCGAGGACGACCACGGAATCGCGCGCCTTCTCGGATCAGTTCGAGATCGCATTCTCAATTTTTTGCAGTTGACATGAAGAGCTGAGGATTCTTACAGGAATGTAAGTGAGCAATCTCGAAAACATAGTGAAGACAAAGAAGTGGCTTATGACATGGCCTGGCGCGAGGGTGGCCAGTAGACACATGTGAGACGAACTCACCTTTGCCATTTTCAATTTTCACGTCTCTCACTTGTTCGCGTCAGCTGCGTGGGTTATTCAATTGGGGCGCGTTTTCCTTCCTTGCTAGAAAGTTCCAATGTCTGTCGTTATGTGTGGGCTGTACACGAAGCAGTTAATTACTACTCAACAGAACTTATTGACGAGTCGTGCGCAGCCGCGTATTTCAACTGATGTGTAAAAAATTATATCAACTTCGTGCTAATATACCACAAATTTCATTTCTATTCAAAGATATCGTAATGAACAGTATTAAATAACAGTAATGAGTTCCAAACATCAATACAATCGTTCCTAACACAATAAATAATACAATGAAGTTAGCAAATTCGATCCAAGAACAAGTTTTTCATTTCTTACAAGAACACAAATATGCATGCAGGAAAGACATTGTTTGTACTTGTTACTATACGATAAATAAACAATAATAATTGTCCAGATCAAAAATTAAAGCACCCAATTTTCTCATGATTCAAATGGTTTAGTAGGCAATAATAGTAAATTTCTCCTTTTACCCTTTGCTTCAATCAGATCGGCGAAAATGATCAGAGTGCACGTGCGCAGGAGCCGCAGACTGCGTCGCGGACGCGAGCAGTCGTTTCCTAGGTCATGAAGCCCCACCTCCCAGCCGCCAATCTGGTTGAAGTCTTCAGCACGACGAGCTTGTTCCCAACAAGCTTGACTACAGCATAAATCACTAATACTGAAACGTTCCAGCACACTTGACTTATAGCTCGAGCATCAAAAAATTTGTTTATTTCATTATCTGCTGCAGATTTATGGCTGCGTCCATTGTCGCCCGCATCCAGCAGCGTGCCAGCGCCGTGCCAGTGCCGTGCCAAAACCTAAGTGGATGCAGTGTATATTGATCGATCCATTTCATCGGCATAGTTCTGGTGCGGTGTTTGCACGGCGCTGGAACGGCGCCGGTACCGACAACTCTGAATAGCCGTAGACATGCGCTCAATTTTTGAGAAGTAAGCCGCCAATTCCTCCGATCGCTATTTGAAAATAAATCTCCGCATTTCTTGGATTTTTTCTTGACTTTTTGACCAAAAATTCTAACTAGCGCGCTCCAGCATATTTCCCTCTACTCAAAACTTTGTTTTTCCAGTGGAAATAGGGACAGCTTAGCTTTGCCAAAACGGAAGTAATTAAGCTTCAGCCAAAGCGACAAACACGTGGATCAGCGCAAAAAAGTCCTGACAGCTCTTCACCACCGTAAGTCCCCAAATCTGAAGTGGAATTTGCATAGCAAAGCAGAAGACGAGTAGAGAGTTGATAACAGTCCATTTGATGGGTCCGGGAGAACAAAGAGCCCACAAGGAGAATGCGAAAAATATGATATTGACGACTAGCGAGAAGAAGCAGAAGTAGTAATGGGCTCCTAGCAGATCCTGTAAAACGAAACTGTTTCGGATGTTGAGCTGCCTCAAAGCATTAGCAGAAGATTGTATCATTATTAGGGGGGGGGGTTATATTTCACTCAGTAACATCCGTTACGCCAAGCAATAAATTGATTTTGAAGAAATATCGTTAATTAAGTTTCTCTACGTAACCTTTGATTCAACTGGCTTGACGGCTGGAAGGCGGGGCTTTGTGACCTGATCCGCTCACGCCCGCTACGCAGTCTGCGTCTCTCCCGCGCGCGTGCTCTCTGACCATTACCTAGCCTTGATTAGGTCGCGAAGCTCCTCCTTCCAGTCGCCAAGCCAGTTGGATTAAAGGGTAATCTCTTGAAGGTACTTCCATTTGCGCAAATTTAATGGCGTGAGATGATTTTCAGCACCCAAAACATAACGTTTTCCGAAATCTAGTCAAAAGACAGCAATAATCAATTGCTATATTGCCCTGAGCTCACTGCATTGAAGCTCCCAAATCATTTTTTCGTAAATAGGCTGTATAGTCAAAAAGTAATGCTCTAAATAACGAGATAAAGTGATTTCGCATATAATTCAAGCGGGGCAGGGAATCGCTCCAAACGAAGAGCATAAAGTGAGCTCGTCCCGATAGAGTTTTGTGACGGTTCTTTGAACCTTCCACTTGAATCCTTAAGCTTTTTTTCTTTACTCGATAGAAGTCAATCATTGCGACCATGGCAATTAAGCACATTTGTTTGAATTCATAGTAACTCATATAAACCGGATTCTTGCCCCGCCCCCTCTCCTCGGTGTAAGCCATTGAAAACAAACTATTAGGTCTTTCAAAAATTCGCAGAGTTTTTATTTTTGTCGCCGCTTTTCGATGAAGCGTTTGGTTTACGTTAGAATACCTATACCATTGAAAAGAGAAAATCTTTTTCTGCAAGTGCTTTTCTATTTTTGAAGGAAACCTTGTGTCCTTTACTATGTAAGCTCTTAGCGTATTTTGAGAAGCAAAAATTGGAAATTTCGGTACCTGCAACTTTCGATCCATATAAGAAAATCACAAGTAGAAATTTTCTGACGGGAGTTATTAGTGATAAGAAAATAAAAATCTTTGCTTTCAGAGGTTTCTAATCAAAGGGACATAGATTCGACCTAAAACGAGCAATGGTTCTTGCAGAATTGCCTCTTTCGAATACTTTGACGTAAAACAACCGCTTCATCGAGAAATGGTTACAAAAATAAAAACTCTATAGACTTATGAAACGACCTAATATATTTACCAAACCTCCTGAAATCTGACAAACAATCTCTTAATCGTGTTTTTACGAAATTGTGACAATTTATTGGGACGAACGAAAGCTAAACTGACCATAAAAGTTACAGTTAAAAATCTTAGAACATAGAAATGTGTCCTTACCTTACTAAATATTACCAGTCCTCGAGCTAAACCGATCAAGAACGTCAGAAGGATCTAAAAGTATCTAATTAGAATAAACGCACAGATTAAAACAAAGAAAAGTTTTCGAAGATGGAGAGTCCAGTACTTCGAAAAAATGTAAAAAAAATTGAATAACTTACAATGTCATAGAAGCCAATGCAGTAGTAGAACAGCTGATGTGCAAACCAAGGATTTATTGAGTCAGGAATGGGAGACCATAATCTGAATCCGTGTCTCGCTATAGCATTTACAGCAATCAACAACGTTGCTGCCACGTAGAACGCCTGTAATTGATTTCCGTAGTTTTTTTTTTCAGATTTTTGAACTTTCTCAAATTGTGAAATCAAATGAATTTGCATGGACTAAACAATAGTGGGGATGCGTTAGAGAAAGGTTTCAAGAAGTTTAAGCTTTTCTGCTGCTAATTGTAAAATCTTTACTTTATACTTACTTCGAAGAAAACAACACAAGCGCATCCACCTCGAACAAGGCACGATGATAAGCAACATAATGGCTCTAATTCAAGATGCCGTGGCTGAACTCTGGAAAGCGCATCGCAAATTTTTTTTTGCAAGAATCGTATAAAATTTCTAATCCTCACTTTGACTGTATTGGCGCTACTTTGTTGTTGCGAAATATTTTCGCTTTTCCCTTCGCGACCACACCACCGATTCGTCCGGATACGGTAGTGAGCACATTGATGAATGCTGAAATAGCACCACTTGGTGGTGGTGCTGTAGCTGAAAAACAACTACGTTTACACGGTGAAAACGCGAGGGGGGGGGGGCAAATGTCAGCCAAAAAAACTTACGCAAAGTAATTGGCGTTTTCAGCATTTCTGCGTCTAGAGGGTTCTACGGAGTTTGCAAGATATAAAAATAAGCGTGAACTTGCGAGCTAATAAGAAATGAAGTCAGCCAAAAATAATGCGCAAGGCAAGGTTTGATGGGGCGTGAAAAAGGTTCCCTTCGGATTTGTTAGCTTTTGCTTGAGTAAGCGCTTGCCTATAGCAGAAAATGTACACTTCTCCTGAATTTTTTATGGCTTTTTCAAAAACATTTTAAGGCGGTTGGAAACAAGGAAACTTTCCGGAAAATCAAGCCTAATACAAAATCTTCAATTCTTTTCTTACTGCAAAACTTATTGCGACGCAGCTCTCGTAATTACAAAGTACTTTTTCCGAGAAAAATTTCTAAAGTTTGGATAAAACTCATACTTTGCATGCTTTTTCTTCATCTCTAGGATTGTTACTGAGAAAATCAAATTATTAAAAGCATTTGTGGTTATTCTCTCGAGATAAATAGCTCACACACTTCAAATTATAAGAAAATTTGTGTATGAATTTCTTCTCCAAACGCTCGGCTGATTTTTTCAAACGATGTTCTGTCTAATGAACTTTGAAAATTTTGCAAGCACTGCAAATGTCATAAATGATTGCCCAATTTACCAAAAATAGCTGTAATATAAGAAAAGAAAAGGCAAATTCTGGATACATTTGCAAAGTTGTGTGAAATTCATATGTAGCCATAGAGGAAACAAATGCATAAGTGGATCAGGACCCTCTTCCTTTGCAAGCAACTCATGCAGGAATTCTTTAGTATCTTTTAGCTTTGGAAATTATGGGGCATCCGTTAAATACCAGTGAGTTTTTAGACAAGGTCAGTGAAGTGCTTGAACATAAGATTCTCTAGCAAAACGCTACGCACAGCTACTTAAAACCTTCTACACGAATTCTTGACATAAACATGCTCACTCGTATTCTTCTTCCCATTCTTCTCTTCATTTGGTTCCTTGGCCTTTGGCGCTTTTCGTGGCTTTGGTGGTTTTCCATCTGCTTTGGGATCTTTTGCCTGAAAGTATATCTTCACTATGTAAATACAAAATTTTTCTCGAATTGAAGTTTTCCACAAAAGATCGCTCAATAAATCCAAGCGACAGCAAGGTTTGTGCTAGTATACCTGGAAACAATAGTCATTTTCTTTATTTTTCTTAGCCTTATATTTGTAATTCATGAGGCACTGGACATAACCTTTGATTCAACTGGCTTGGCGGCTGGAAGGCGGGCTTTGTGACCTAATTAAGGCCGCTCGCGCCCGCGACGCAGTCTGGTCTCTCCCGCGCGCGTGCTCTCTGATCATTACCAGCCTTAATTAGGTCGTGAAGCGCCGCTTCCAACCGCCAAGCCAACTGAATCAAAGGGCACGCTTTATCTATCCGTGTGTAACTCATTTTCACATTTTGCCATGTATAAATCATAGACGAAAAACGAATTTTATTTTTTGTTGTGTTCACAAAGTCGCAATTTTCTAGATTTGTCACCTTTTCACCTGGCTAAAATGTGCAAGCAAAGCACTTATCGAAAAGTGCTTGAAAGTGTGCAAAGTCAAATGTTCAAAACCTTGGCAGTATGACACTAGAAAAAGAAATGACCAAAAAATCACTTTAAAAAAATTATGTTCAAATTCGTTGAAGACTAACTCAAAATTTGTGTTGTCTGTTGATTAGAACCTGCAACATATTAGGTTGGAAATGAGATTTAAGTTTATTGGTAGATAGAAACAAAGCATTAAAATAGAATCTGATTGATTTTTGATTTTCAGGCAATTAAAAAATGTGGTGCTGATCAAACGTCTCTACAAGAAGTTGCATTCTTAGACCTCATGTATTTAGAATGAAGTAATCATATATTTTGTATAGTAGAAAGATAACACGCAGAGTAAAGTTTCTAAAATCAGTAAATTTTTACTCTTACATTATATGACACTTTGAAATATGTAAAGTAACTGCGGTTTCGAGTGCTGCTAAGCAAGACCTTACTAACAATAAGTGATTTTGTTCTTCATCCAACTCTCTCTTTTGAGATAATGAAGAAAGAGTAAAGGGTAAGAGTAATGAGATCATGCAACTTGTTGCAAGATGTTCAGATTCGTTCCCCTAGCACAGCGATAAAGCTTCATAGAAGTTAAGTAAAGTGTTTCCATAACAAATTCTTTTGTTGAAACTCGCTGCTTTGAGATCTGGGGTGCCTTCAAGTAGATTTTGTTACTCATTTATGACAAAAAACACTTTTGCAAAATTTTGCACGCCTGCATTTTGACGTTGTTCACGTGGACAAAAATTTGCTTTGCATTCATGGAGATTGAAAAAATGTGCAAAAAACTGGGAAAAGTGCTGCTAGTTGACACCAAAGATTTTTTTTTGCAAATGTTAGCATTTTCGAGAACACTTCTGCAAAATTTTGAGCAATAAAATATCTATTCTGCGCTACCAACGGCATGAGTCACTTTTCTTGAATTGTTGGAATGGTAGTAGCTATGAGAGGAAAGAAGAGATGAGAGGAAAGAGGAGGAGGGAGTTGGGTAAGTGTGAAAGCATAGTATTTCTATACAAAACACAGATAGAAACCTTGAAACGGTTTCTTCTTTCCACTCCTGTTTGCCTTGCACCGAAACTTCCAAAAAATTGCGTTTTTTTTTTCAACATCATCCAAATCGCTGTTTTGTAGATATCAAGGAGGGAAATTTTGCATTGGGGATGGATATAAGCTCCTTCGCAACGGTGCCACTTGCACCAAAAACGGGGTTGATATAAGTGTCTCAGAGACTGTAGGGAGCAGTATATTTGCGTTGAACGCATAGACGATCGTCCGATAAGCATAAAGTTAGATATTGGGAAATGGTCATACGAGTAATCACCGCCTATGCGCCACAAGTCCGATGTAAGGATGATGTAAAGGACGCTTTATGGCAGGAGCTTGGTGACCACCTCAGTACAATTCTCCTTGATGAGACAGTCCTGCTAGGAACGGAACTCAACGAATGTTAGGAGAAAGGCAAGGAGAAGCCGGGAAATGTCACGGGGTCAAGGATACAGAAAACAATAGAGAAGGTGAGCGCATTCTAAAGCTCGCTTCAGCTCATGATCTGCCCTTGGCGAACACATACTACATCAAGAAGGATGACCACCTCATTACATATACGAGTGGAGACCAACGAACACAGACAGACTTGTAGGCTATCCGACAGCGTTAATTAAATCGTAAACGAGTGCAAAGTTATCCCAGTGAGAGCTGCACACCTCAACATAGACCACTGCATCTCGACATCAAAATAACGATTTGCACATCAGGAGAGCTACAGAAACCAAGACACGAATCAATTGGCAGGGATTGAAGACCAACAACGCAGCGAAACGAACACTGCTAACAACTCTACCAAACCTGCAAAAGAACCCAGAATGATGAGAACCCTGAGCAGGCTTGAAAATCAAGTCTATGGCCAAGTCAAGTGGCGCACATGGTCCTGGGAAACACAAGGCCAAGAGAAAGGATCAAACGGAAACATAGCGGTGGAATGACGAAGTACAAAGAGACATAAAGGGAAAGAGGGATGCGTATAAACGATGGCTATACGATGGTACACAATCGGAAGACGATCTTCAGTCATATCAACAAGCCACACACGCAGCGAAGTCTGCAAAGAGAGCATAACAGGTGTACATAAAAGATCTCTACGAGCAGCCGTAGTCTCGCATGGAAGAACATGAGGTACACCGTAAAGGCGTAAAGAAGAGCGGAATCCACGAAAGATACAGAGCACTCTCTCCATATCAAAGACAAACTTAGTAGGACGCTAAGAAAACCAGAGGACATTACCGAAATGGAGATTCTAATACGAGGAAATGACCGTCACAGGCCGCATCGTCAACTCCATTCCAGGAGTTTCCCATAGAAGGACCAATACCAGCAGTCACGGAAGAACAAGTATGGCTAGCCGTAAGAAAAACAGATGGCAAAGCGACAGGTCCAGATGACATACAATGCGAATTCTGGAAAATACGTGGACAGTCCGGAGCATCGTGTTGACGAGTCTCCTGAATCAAATCATAAGGAGCAAGAGTATGCCTCGCGAATGGTATACCAGCGCAACAATCCCGATATGAATGAACAAAGCAAACATAGAAGACTGCGCATCTAGCGATCAATCGACACGCATTTGGATATCGTAGAATTGTCACCGCAGTGCGGATTTTTGAAAGGAGTAAGTAAAACCGACGCCATCCACTCCGCTCGGATGAAGGAATATAGAAAGAAGCAGAAGAAGTTGTATACATCATTCCTGGACCTGGAGAAAGCCTTTGACAAGGTGCCGTATAAAGTCATATGGTGGGCCTTGCGATGGCACAAGGTGCCAGAGGAGTATGTTCAGCGGATATAATCTACCAAAACGCTACAAGTCACGTGCAAACAGCTGCAGCTCAATCAAAAGAGTTCCAAATCAAGGGGATCAGTTCTCTCTCCCTTGCTCTTCATCAATGTGATGAACGCCGCGATGGAACCAACTCAGATGTAAACCTCCTTGGACACTTATCTACGCAGACGATGTGGTCTTGATAGCAAGTACCAGAAAGGAGCTGCAAGCTGAGGTGCAGAACTGGAAAGACAGGCTAAAGTTGTATGGTTTGAAGCTCAACACAAGGAAGACAAATTATATGGAAGTGGGGAAACAGGATCCTGGTGCCATAAGCATTGATGGTGAAAATCTAAAGAAGACAGCGTCATGCAAATACCTAGGCAGTCACAACTCAGCGAGCGGAAGGAGGCCTACAAGACGAGGTCGCAGGCAGGTTGAACACAGCGTGGATGAAATGAAGAACTTGACTAGAGTTTTGTGCAACAGAAGAATGTCATCCCAGGTCTCAACTGTACCGGACCGCTATCCTTCCAGCAGCAATGTTTGGCAGTGAGTGCTGGCCTTGTACGCGGAACGAGGAGTACATACTTATCATGGAAAGAAGGACGTCGCGGTACACCTTAGGAGTTCACACTGAGGGGCCACATCTGCAACGAGACTTCGCGAGCTGAATGAAATTGGCTTCAATTGCCCAGACAATGCAGGAAAGAAGGCTACGATGGTATGACCATGTGCGCAGAAGGGAAGAGAGCTACATTACGAGGTTAGCCTTAACGGTGGAGGTACAAGGTAAAAGTTTTAGAGGTAGACGCAGTGAGGTGGATGGACAGAATCAAGGCCGAACTGCGAGAAGTTGGAATGAATAAAGGCCTAAAAGTCTCAAATAGAAGAACATGGAGACAACTGACAAGAAAAGCAGACCCTGCACTTTCGAACTCCCGAGTCGGTCTAATTGTTTTTTTTTTGTAATTTTTAATTTCTGAGATAACTCTAACATGCATGGTAAAGCACACTTCATATAAACTAAAATCTGAGCGTTGTGCGTTGAACTTTTTTGTATTTTTGATACAAATTTTTTATTCTATTTAAGTACTCTCAACCCGATATAATCACGATACCATACATTGATCGAAAACAACTTCATATAATCTTGCCCACATTCATACTAATCATGTATGGATAAAAAACCAGAGTATAGTGTGATCCTTACCTTTGGCATATTTTTCTCGATTGTCTCCTTCTTTGCTCTGTCAGGCACCCAAAATTCCTGAACCTGTAATGGAATGCTAATTTTGAGGCACTAAACACGGGGAAAAGCGCATAATTGAAAAAAAAGGTTCGAGGACGTAGAGCATGATAACAAAAATGCAGATACTTAGTTCCCACTGTCTAGAAAAGTTGAGACGTACTTTATTTTGAGCCATGTCATGAAGCCTGGCCGCAGTGGTGTGCGAGCAGAGAAAGCAATAATAGCTGGCTCGGAAATACGATAAAGAATGAAGAATAGCGTTTTCCCGGCTCTACTGCTGTTTCCTCGCCACAGGCAAATGCCATGCGAAAAGTGGAGGTTGTAAGTAAGCAAACTCAGCCATTCCCACAAGCAACCAAATGACTTCGCCGACGACGTCCTTGTCGACGTCGATGGTCAACTCGTATGCAAAAACACAAAAGCACTCTCAGTGTATTTAAGGAATGTCCCTATTATTACAGGAAAACCAGCAGGGAGTCGACCGAGAAGTTCTAGTACATTCATTCGAAAGCTCTTATGTGTACGTTGCTTGTTGCATGCGTAAGATGGAAGAAATTTGTTTCTGATTTAG